TTATTCTTAAAGTATTAGTTAGAAATATATAAAAATTATTTTAAGCATTTAATTTTAATAAATTTTAAATTTTTATTTATAATACTAGGTAATAGAAAATTGTTAGAAAGTATAAAGTGATCAATATGGTATTATCCCTTAAACTGTAAAGCAGGCAAATTTGCCTGCGAACTTATTAAATTTTTAGTTTTTATGTAATAGATTGTCAAATACAATAAAGATCTACATAATAATTTTACATTATGTTCTTTAGCTATTATTACACAAATAATTTTATTTTTTCATCATTTAATCATCAAAAATAATACTTTTAAACCTCAAAAGTTGAATAATCTTTTACAGGTAAATTTGCCTGCATACTTAATTTTTAAGTAAAAAAAGAAATAATAAATAAAAAATTTTTTTAAGCAATTACTAATTAATTTAAATTTAAATTTATTTATGTATTGCAGTTTTTACAAAAGTTACAATAAATATATCAATCATTTCAAACTTACTGCGTATTGCCTTTTTTTATTACAAATCTAAATTCTTATATATTCTCAACTGTAGAGCAGGCAAATTTGTCTGTAACGATCATTAACTTTATTGAATTATTCAAACTTGTTAAAAGTTTATTCTTTGAATAATTTTCTTACATTATTTATTTTTCTATTGTGTCCGATTCTACATAAAGTGAATTTTATTTTTGCTCATTTACTTGAAGTCATAATTCAGATGATGAGGCTGAAACATTAGAATCTGATAAGCCAAAGGAAAAAGGCAAAGGAAAATCTAAAAAAAATATACAAACTGAATCCATTAATGAATCATCAAAAGTTTTGTTCTATTTTAATATGCATATCCTTTACTCAAAGTACGTTTAAATTTATTTAATAATTTAGAGGTTCAACTTTACCTTATTTTTCTTAAATTTTTTTTCAATCAACAAATAGAAACTATTGTAAATAATACAAATATATATGTTTATATATATGATGTAAAAATTGGAAAAGGTAATTTAGCAGGCAAAGGTCATAATTAAATTGAATTAACAATTAAAGAACTTAAATTATGGTTAGCACTGGTAATCTACATAGATGTATTTAAGTTTCCATCAATTGAAGATTATTGGAAAGATGATATACATTATCCATTACATAAAATAACTAAACTAATATCCTTATTTAAATTTCAACAGATAAGCAATTTTTTAATTATGTTATTTTTAATTGAATTTGACTTTAATTAACATTTTTTTTAAAAAAAAATTTATATCAAGCGATATTTGCATATTTCAGATTGTAGTATTCAGTCTCAATCATCAAACATGTTTGTAAAACTTGAACCCCTTGCATTACATATTTGTAATACTTCAAAACAATTCTATATTCTAGCTTTAAACGTATCTATAGATGAGATTATCACTCGATTTTCTGGGCGTAGTAGTCATATATTTTGAATTAATAATAAACTTATACCAGAGGGTTATAAAATTCTATCATTATGTGAATCTGGATATACTTATACTTTCATGTTTATGTTACGAATTAAACCTTCAGATGTTAGTTTAATTTCTAATGTTAACAAAATTAGAGCTAAAGTTTATCATTTAGTGAATTAGCTACTACCTCATAAAGCATTTAATATATTTATGAATAATTATTTTTCGAGTATAAATTTGTTTAATTTTCTTTGAAGTAAAGGTTATAGAGCATGTGATATAGTCTGTACTAATACAGTAAAGTTTCCCATTTTTTTAAAAAAAGAAAAAGAAAAAAAAGGTCTTGAGTGAGATTTTTTAAAGGGTATAGTAGTAGATAATATTTTATCATTACTATAGATTGACAATGGTCCTATGACTATATTAATAACAATACATGTTATTAATAAAGATGAAAATAGAATTGAAAAGGATAAGAGAAGATCATGAGAAACTAGCATAAACAATAATAAAGTCAAGTCAGTATTTGGAGATTCTACTCAAAAAGTTTTACCCATACTAAAAATTATTAATAATTATAATTATCAAATGGGAGATGTAGATATAGCCGACTAATTATGAAGCTACTATTCTATATAATTAGCCATTTGTAGAATATGGATGTTGCTATTCTTTTGGCTACTTGACACTTCTATTATCAACTCCTTTCTTATTTGTAAAGAATTAAAATTATGTGATAATCATAAGGATTTTAGGTTATAACTAGTCCGTGATTTAATTAAAGATATAACAAGTAATCCTTTAAAGTGAACAACACGTAATTCTAAAGATCAAGATCCAAATGAAGAAAAAGTTAATATAAAAAAATATAGAGTAACAGATAGTTTTGAATTGCCTTCAAAGAGATTTGCTGATAATGATCATTTTTCAAAACATAAAGAAAATAGGGATTCTTGTTTGTAGTGCCATTATAAGTCTAAAAAAGATAATAAAAAAATTTCAAAAAATCCTTCTCAGTCTAATATCTAGTGTAATGAATGTAATGTAGCATTATACTATAACAAGCAACGTTCATGTTTTAAGGAATTTCATACGATTTCTAAATAATAGCAATTAATTAGTAGTTTTAGTTAATATGTAAAGTTGAATTTTTTATATTTTAATTTTCTTTTATATTATTTATTAATGTAAAGCATATCAAAATTAACATTTTTGGTATATGATATGCATAGTTGCGGCAAATAATTAAAGTGATCATTAAGGTGAATAAAAAAATTTTCGCTGATTTTATTTTGAATAAAAAATTGTCTATTTTTAGGATATATTAAATGCTACCTTTTATATAAAAAGAAATTTAAAATTACTTTGAAATAATACTTCAAGGATTCATTATTTAAAAATAAAAGTTTTTTTTATGTTGATTAATAAAAGTTAAAAAAATCGATGCAACTTAAATTTTGGAAATTTTGCAAGCAAATTTGCCTGCAAAAACCTACAGTTTAAGAGATAATAGGAAAATATTAATTCAAAAGATCAGCTAACGTAATGTGATATATATGACCAGAAGTTATATTAATTGCGTCACGTTAGATAACGAAGATAAAAAAATAAATTAAATAAAGATTATGCAAAAACCCAGAAGTCATCAAAAATTTTTTTATATTACTAATCATTTTATATTATTAACCATTTATTATTTGTAATCAATTAGTATTTTATTTATTTATATTAGTAAATAGGATAGCTTTAGGACTTGGTTAAGGTAGATAATAGTAACAAAACAATTTTATAAATAATTAAAATTCAATTAGTTTTTATCACCAATAAGATAAATACTAATAATAGTTATATGTTAACAAATATAATTGTGATGAATTCTTTATTCTATAATAAAATCCTTAAAGTTTATTTTAAATATACATTGTCATTTGAAATAATAATTATTTGTAAACCCTTCAGAGCTCTCTCTAAGTATTTATACAATCACATGCATAACAGATAAATATAATAATAAAATTGCATCACCTTAAATAACAAGCAGGCAGACTGAATGACAAATTTATTAAGTTGCATAATATTTAATAGTCCTTCATTTGCACTTTAGATTTATTAATAAATGTAAATATTAATATAAATAATTTTTAGTTAAAATTTTAATATAATTAAATTCAATAGATAATATCATCAAAAAAATGGATATCTAAAAAAAAAAACTTAAATTATTTTTAGATGATTATGAAATCAATAATCATTTAGTATAAAGAGCTTTTATTTAAATTTAAAAAATTAAAAAAATTAATAATTTGCTTTAAAAAGAATAATTTATTTTATTTAGATATTTACAACTTAATATTTGTTATATTATTAATTTTAAATTACAATATATATTATGATTAATTTATAGAAAAGTAAATAGTATTTTCTTTAATTCTAAAAATTTAAATTTTATAAATTAATGATATTTTATACTGTATATATATTATTACATATATTATACAGTATATAAATATTAAAAATAATAATTTGAAATTAAAAGAATTTGCTTCTTTTCATAAAGAATAATTAAAATGTAAATAAGAAAAATGAATGATTATGTACTGAATTTTTATTTTTGTTTAATGTATTATATGGTATGATTTCTAGGAAAATCAGGTTCCGGAATTTTTTTTAACAAAATTGAGATTTTTTATTGCATTTTAGTTTTTTTGATATCATTAGATTAAAATGCATAAACTCTTAATTTGTCAAAAATTTCTCGGAACCTGATTTTCCTAGAAATCCTTATTATTGCATTATACTACTACAAAGTTAGAGTTTTTTTATAGTAATAAACAGAGACTATAAAAAAACTCTAACTTTGTAATATTTATATTTATTACTAAATAAAGTTTTTATTTTATTTTTCCTTAATAAAATTCAAGTTACAAAAAGGTGTTATCAATTTACCCCACATGATTAGAGAACTGTAACGGTACTAGAAAAAGGTTTTTAAATATTTAATATTTAATGTTGTATCAAAGAAATATAATGTTATTTATGGTGGGTTTATAATAACACGCATTAAGAAGAAAAAAATTTTTTTTTGTTTTTCATCATCATATCCGAAACAACTCTTATTAAAAAGAATAAGATCAACGGTGAAAAATTATCCCAACGCCAACTTCACATGAGTACTTAAATGATCCAAGAATCAACGAAAAATTTGTTGTATTTAGAATGTATTGTTGATGCTGAAGATAATCTTAATCTCCCATTGTTAAAACTAAAGTGGGAAATGAAAATCTCCTGATTTTAAAATTAAATAGAATAAGAAAATGGTGTAATTTCCGACATCAAGGAAGATCTTGTAGATCAAGAATCGTTCTTTTTTTTAAAAAAAAATTGTCGGTTAAATTTGTTTGAAAATTCTTTTTTCAAAAAAAAATTCATTTAAATATGAGCAATCTGTCTTTAAACATTTTTATTATATAAGTTACATAGTTTTCTTTTCTTTTTTTTTTTCCTTAAGAAACTACTTTCTTTTTAACTTTCAATTCAACAGAAATTTATGAACCTTAATATAATTAACGGAGAAACGATGATTATTAAAGTAAGATACACCAATCTTCGTGAAGTATTCTCTCGTAATATTGTTATCAATAAAAACATTAAATTGAAAGAATTGGAAGCCAAGGTGAATATTCTTTGTTACGGAAATTCATAGTGTGGTTTGGTTATGTTAAATTGAAAGTTTATCTTTCTTTTGATTTCATGTCATGGTACTTAGATACGTGAACGTTTCGATGTGGGTTACGATGAAAACGTCGAAATTTATTACATTGACGATGATAAAGATCGGATTGCTATTTCCTTTGAAGAGGAATTAGCTTTAGCCATGGAGAACGGGAAAATACAAACACTTGAAATTGTCACCAAACCAAAGGTAAAAAATATACCATTCCTAAAAAAAAAGAATTTCGCAAAAAAAAAAAAAAAAGGCGTTTATTTTATTTCTCTTTATATTCTAGACCGTTGACGACATTTGCGTTTACCCCGATGTGCCAAATGGAAAAGAAGGAGAATGTTTAGAAGTTTTGATTGAATCAGAATATCTCACAATTGCCAACGCAACGAATAGCGATACCAAAGCTTGGGGAACATACATTTACACTAACGATTCAGATGTTGTTAAAACTCTCGTTCATTCGGAAAAGATTAAATTACCCGCAACTGCACCCCCTTACAATGTAATTGCAACCTTACGTTTCTTACCGGGATGTATTAAATACATAGGAAGCGCTTCTCAAGGGGTTAATTCATTGAATTTCGGCCCATATGAAGCAAGTTATATTATTAGTAATGTTAGGATCGTACCTAGTCGCGAAAAAAATGATTATTAAATTTAACTTTGTATTGATTTTATTTTTCTCTAATTTTTATTTCTTATAATATATTAATATTAATAATTAAAATAATTAATAATTTAATAATTTGGAATATTTGTCAAAAAATAATAAATTTTTTATTCGTTCACGAATTCGTGACGTGATTATTTCACACTAACAGAAATCACCCTAATAAGGGTTTCGAACCAATAAATAATGAAATACAGAATTAGTTTTTTTTAATAATTAAAACGTAGATTCTTTGCTTTTTTGAATTAACAGATGTATGACCTTTTTTTTTTTCCTTTAAGGCGTGCTATTATTATTGTTTTGAGACGAAACGTGATTGCCTATGATCATCCCCCTTTATTAAAGATCATGAATATAACCCGATTTAAGATCTCAAACGCGGGGTTCCCCTTATTTTTTTTTTGATGATTATATCGGTATTTATGACTTATTTAAGATAAGATGGTAACCTTTCAACCTTTGTTACATGTGAATGTATTTAAGCTAATGTGATCATTACCGAAGATTTGATTTTATTTATCAAAAAAACATTAAATACACAAAGTTTTGATTCTTATACCCTTTTTTATTTTATAATTTTTTTCATTAATTCTATTCCTTTCTTTACGGTATGTCACCAAAATTTGAACAATCGAACGATAAAGATGGGCTGGCTCCTAAAGCACCTTATTCAAGAAATAGTAAGAGGGCATTTTTAACCTATGCCCCTGGGAAGGCATCCTTTCAAGTAGGTTATTTAGGAGCTGATAAATCAACAATAGAAGGTGTGCTACAATTAAAATATGATGAAGAAAAACCACTATTCGCAAAGAAGATTACCCTTTCGTTCGTGGGAAAAGAATATGTTTTTTTTGCGGGTAACCCATTGGAAGGTGAAGATGACATTAAAGAAGACGATGAAAGTGAATCTTTTGAAGGCATCGAAGATGAATCAAAGATATCCACTCATACGGCAAAGCGTAAATTCTTTTGTAATAACATCACAATTTGGAGGTCACAAAGCAAAGGTCAATATGAAGCCATAAAATCCCTTGACTTACCTTTCAAATTTAAGTTACCGGAGAATCTCCCCCCTTCGATCACGATGGATAAAGGATGTGGAAGACTTTATTACATGCTTAGGGCTGTTATTTCAAGACGGCGCATGGATCCTAATTCACGTATTAAAAAAAAAGTTGTTAAAGTGGTAGTTCCCATCACTCGTTACACAATCACTCCACAACCAGAACCTTCTCGTTGGTTTATCAAGGAGGATGGACCCGCAAAACCGCACGCTTTTGGATATGATGTATCCTTAACACAATCAACTTGTGGTCCAGGAGAAACCATCGTTGTTCCTGTAAAATTATATTTTCATGAACCTCAAGTTTACTTCAAGAAATTATTCGTAGGAATAAAAGAATATCACGAATTACGAACAGACGAATATGAAACATCAACAAAAAAATATCTCGTTGAAGAAACTGTACTTGCGAATGATCTTCCAATTTCATCCGGACCTGACAATGAATGCTTTATAGAGATAAAATTACACATTCCTTTTGCAAGACAATTGGTTTATACTCTAGATTCAACCTACCTCTCAGTTTATCACAAGTTGAAAGTTAAAGTTGGTCTAGGTAATGCTCCTGACATAAATATTTCAAAATTTGTTAAAATTTTAAATCTCGTTAGTGAAGAAGAAGTTTTCCCACCGACACCGACACCGACACCAGCACCAACACTAACACCAACACCAATCTCAACTTCAATTCCAACTTCAACTTCGACCCCAACTTCAACTCCAATTCCAACTCCAACTTCAACTCCAACTCCTAAATCAATTGACATCCCTCGTGAAGTTATTATAACACATGAGCCTATCATGGTTAAACCTAAACGGGATCCCCAAAGAAGATTGACACCTTTCTACCCATTATTTAACAAAATTCAAAATCGTGATCGTGCCGTAAAGAAACTTTCGGCACAATTACAACTCCAACTTCAAATCAGCAACTCGAAAAATGCAAACATGATTTATAATTCGAGATCTTTATTTGTACCTACTTTGCAAGCAAAAAAAACAACTCAAGCTTATTAAAAGAGTCGTGAAAATTGGTTTTATAAATCAACGTGTGTTTTTTCTTTAAAACATTTGTCATCAATCCCTTTCTTTTCTCTCCACTTTTTTTTTTTTTCTTTTTTCTTTTACTCCCCGTTAATTTGAGAAGTTTCATGTCATCTTATATATAAATTATTTATTGGATATAGGAGAAACCATATCGCCTTCAATATAATCAGTTAAGTATAGTTTTTTTTAAGTACAATATATTAAAGGTTTTTTTTTTCTTTTTTAATTTTTTTAATTATATTTTATATTATAATTTAAACTTAATTATTTGAATTCATTTCATTTCCAAAAATTGAAAAAGAAAGCAATTGTTTGTTCCATTCGTTACCTCAATTTATTTAATGATATTCAAATAAATGGTTCTACAAATAATTTTAAATTTGATCTTTGAAATTAACAATTAGCAAGCTAAATTATAAATTTATTATTTATTTATTTTATATCAAGAAATCCGTATAAAATTTTTTTCTAAAAATGTTTATATGATATTTAAGATCAATAGTTGCAGGCTAATCTATTAAATCGCATTATTAAAAGAAAAAAAATGGTTTACTATTTAAGGTATTTTTACTTAAATACCATAAGAAGCGGGTTCGACTTTAACACTAGTTGAGTCTTCCAAAGTAACAAAAGTGACCTTTGAACTTTTATGCACATTTGGTATGGAATTATATTCCGCTCGAAATTTCATTAATCCGAGATTGTTGTTGCTTGTATCATCATTACTAGATGAAACAGCGGAAAATGCGATTTCATCATTTTTCTTAACCTTGATCATACATCTCTCAAAATACTCTTGTTCTCTATTATAAAATGCCAAGTAATCTCGAAGTTCTTTTTCTTGACGTTCCTTAATCTGGTCAAGTTCGGCGTAATATTGTCGCTAAAATAAAGGAAAATAATATAGTGTATTTTTTTTTTTATAAAAAAACAAAATAAATTGGAATAGAAATAAAAAAAACTTACGTATAATTCATCTCGCCCAATTATAGGATCATCATCTTTTATGATAATCTTTCTTTTAATGGCATCTGCAACATCTTTCATAGTTCCAATTTTTTCTTTTCCTTGATCATGTTGAGAAGGATTTGAGTGTCCTCCATTTATCAAAATTTTCTCAACTTCAGGATGTAATATCATACTAGTTAAAGTATCAGTCATTGAATATTTTCTTTTCGCATATTTTAAATCTACACTTTGATAAAATAATTTTCGATGTTCAACGATTTCTTTGGCGTGAATTTGAATTAATTTCTCCAACTGGATCTTCTTAGATTTTAAAAGTGCGTCCAATCGCTCTTGGTAAAACTCGGCGTTAACTTCTTTATTTAATTTGTTAGATACGACCATATCCTCGTATCTTAATAAAAAAAATAATAAGAACGTGTAATAAATCAACCCTAGAAATACCATTATATTATTATATGTTACCTTTCGTAATCGTTACACAAGATATACAAGAATCTCTCGTCCTGTAAAGGTAATAAATGGTATCATTTTATGAATTTTAACCTTCAACCTTAAAAGGTTAATAATATACTTACAAGAGTCTCACCAAAGTTGTCATTTTTCAAATCATCCCAATATCCAGAATCGATATTCATTTCTTCCGCTAAAGTTCAAATATGCATATTTATAGATTTAAGTTCAAAATTAAGATTTTGCGAAACGTTTCCAAAATTAATATGTTACCTTGAGCAAAAAAAAGTGTTGGCTCGCGCAGGGAAACTTTGATTTATCAAAGGTAAAATAAAAACGATTTGTTAAAGCACGAATAAGATTGAAGTGTGAGAAAGAAAAATTGAGATATGAATTTTACATATTCATGAATTCTTGTCTATTTATGACATTTTACTGAGTCAAATCAAACACATCATCTCATCATCTTACGTTTGATTGATGCAAGAATCGGATCGCGATTTAAAAAGGAATACTTATGTACAATTTATTTATTCAACATTGAACCAATCTAACACATAAATTGGACTAAAGCTAATAGCTTTCACTATAAAAGTCATAGGTTCATAAGGTACATACTGAAAAGCAAAGTCTAAATCTATCATTGCGACATCAGAACTAACATATGGATTAATGATTTTTCCAGAAATCATAGAAAGCCTTGAAATTTCTATTTCCTTTCTAAAAATTTTCTTCCCTTCATCATAATAAGTAAAAACATAATAAAAATCTATAATTCTATAACGTTCAACAAATATTGGTTTCTCGTGATTAGAACGAGTGAAGAATTCAACAGAGTATTTATTGTTTAAGCCTCCCTGTCGTAGTGGAATATCCAAGTTGATAACTGTACCAAGGTGATTTTGACATCTCATCAAAAGGGTTAGTTTAGGGGAATGATTTGTGAATAATTGGGTTATTTTGTCATATATCATGCGATTTATCGTGATATTCCAATCGCGACACACTTGTCTTAGCGAAGAGATGCGTCTCTTATTTGTGATTACACATGTGTGGGATATTATTTGCTTCAGTATGTGAATTGGAATATCTTTGATACTTGTTGTAGGTTTTACTAATGGTTTTTGCTTTCTTTCTTTCTCACGTATTCTATTATCGATTAAGGGGGACGATCAGCTTTTATTTTTTTCGCGAAGGTTAAATCATGATAAAAAAAATTATTACAAACTCGTTATGTGACTTTAATGGCCTATCAACTTTAAATAGATTTTTAGTGAGATTATTGGTAGATCGTGATTCTTGTATCAAAACCACCGTCTTTATAATAAAAAACATTCGTGAGTACTTTTGATCAAATTAATTAAAAAAAATTACTTTAACTTACTTTCTCAATCGTCATTATAATATGACCAGGAAAACGTATCGAACCACAAAGTTTCTATAAATCTTCTGGAAAATTCAATTCAAGCACGGTATGGTCTAACATTCAAAAAGAGAGCATTTTATTTTTGAGGGTATTTATAATTTTTTTTCTTACAATGACATCATTAATTTGAAATAATTTATCCGATGATGTTATCGATAGGGGATAATCTCCTAACTGATTATTGCCAAACCGGATGAAAAATAATAATATTTTGTCTTTCGTTCATACTAACCTCCATTGGCGAAACTTTCATGAAATAAAAATTTTTGCGAATAGTGCATGTGTGATTTAATGTCAACTCCCTTATTTTGTGGATAATTAACCGGCCCATCTGTGTACGTTACATATTTTAAACCCGCATATGGATAAATTATAATAGCTCGATACAAATTAATCATTATAAACAATTTAGTAATGTTATTATAATGAACCTTTCATTCGTTCTCGAAAATAATCAATACGTAACCTTTATTTTGTGATGCACAAATTAATTTAGAATTCCATACGGTAAATAAATTCAAAACATTAAATTTTTTAATTTTGATTTTATTTTGTTTCATGTATTCCAAGATTTGGGAAGACTTTCACCGTCTCTCGAATTTCTACCTTTTTCCTTGTCATTTTGCAATCAAAATTCGGTGGCGCAGAATTTGATTGAACTAATAAAATTTCCGTTTTTGTGAATTTTAATGAATAAATATTAAATAAGATCAACATTTATATTTCAAATTCATTCTAATTATTCTAATTCTAATTTCATTACTCATTCAACAACGCTTTTCTTCATATTTTTTTCACTTTTTTTCTTTTTTTTTTTTAAAAAAAAAAAAGAAAAAAAAAAAAAAAAAGAGAAAACACCCCAATTTTTATACATACGTTTTACATACTTTATACATTTAAATCTGATAGAAGGTCCTTTCAAGTTCTCCTAGTTTTAGTAATCATTACATCATCTAAAGTTATTTTAGGAAAATTGGATTTTTATTTTTTTAAAAAAAATCCTTGTCCTTTTTAACTTTTCTCCGACAAACTTGCAATAATTGCAATAAAATTAGTTTTTTTTTTTTTTTTCTTCTTCTTTATTCTTAATTTTTGATTAATTAAATGATGAAAAAAATTTATAATTCTCAACAAAGTTTCATAATACCGAATTCAACGATAATGCATATATCAACCATTTTCGTTTTAATAACACTATTGCTTTCATCACAATATTTGGCAGTTTCTGCGCAGTCAACTCCTGACAATACTGTGAAATCACCGTCGATTGAAAATAGTCCTTGTGAAAATGATTGGGATTGTGTTAATAATAATAATTCAAAAATTGAAATGAAAGGATCATGGTTTAACCGAACAATCAAAGAGAGGCCGGGTGACTTTATGTGTATACAAAAAACATGCAAATTTGTAGTTGCTGCTGGTAAGCTTCCTCCTTTCGATTCCATGTCTTTTCACGTGATCTCCTTTTTTTTTAATAGAAGAAATTTCCTTTAGGTCAGCCATGTCGAGATGAAACGGATTGTATAGCATATCATTATTCAATTGTATATAACGTTAACGTTAAATTTGACCAAAAAGATTTTTGTAGCCCAAAGTATTGTAATCCTGAATCAAGTTGCGATGGAGCATGGGATCAAAAAGATCTTACTTTGCCTCATTTTGAAAAACCATCGAACTGTTGTAATGGACTTCCGTCAGAATCAAAATGTGATATAATAGCGAATGATGTTGATCCATGTGATTATAGTTCTAGCTGTATTTATGATAAAACATCTGGTAGCGCAAAGTGTTTCAGCGAAGATCGAAAGGGAGGCATTTGGATCGGTATTGTAATATGTTTATTGGGAGGTGTAGCCGCAAATATCGGATTGAATGTTCAAAAATATGCTTATACTAAGCACCAAGATGAATTGAACAAAAAATCAGGTGTAGATGATGATGTTAATTCTATAATTAATTTGGAACGTTCTAGCCTTTATAGAAAGTTGGAACGTTTTATGTTCTGGAAACAAATCATTGTATCACCGGTAAGTTTTATGAAGCGTGAATTCGTTTTATTATCATAGAGTGGTCCAGGATTATATTAAACTGTCGCACAAAAGTTATAACTTTTCCACCTCGTCAATGTTATTTCCGCACATCGTCATGTGAATTCAATTTATTAAAAAGTATCTCACCTTTTTTTTTTTCCTTTCCTTTCTTCACTAGCTCTGGGTCTTTGGGCTGGGTATCTACATTTTCGGAAGCTTGCTAGGTTTCGTCGCACTCAAATTCGCTCCACAATCGCGTACGTAATTATATTTTTCAATTCATAAACAAATTTATATACTTTCATACCAAGTTAATCTTTAATTTCCTACATGATAGTCGTCGCCCCACTAGGTGTTGTATCTTTAGTTGTCAATCTGATAATCGCTCCGATACTTCATCATCAAAAATTAACAATCTGGGACATTGTTGGTGTCGTAATCATCATATGCGGTAGTATCGTGATCACAGTATTCTCTGGAATTGTTATACAAGGTTAGTCTTAAATTTGAATTTAATTTATTTACTTATTTATTTTTTTAATATATATTTTGATGCATATTTGTATGAATAGATTATAAATTATGCGCTCTTATTGGATTATTTCATCGAATCCAAACAATCGTTTATCTTTCTACGATTGCTGCTTTTATCTGTGCTTTATTTACTTTTATACGCGTCATTGAAAGGAATGCAGCTCGAGAGGATGAAATTGCGCTTGCCCAAGAAGCTGCCAATATTATTGCTATCGGACATGAAAACAGTTCCCCTGAATCAACTAATGTAAACGAATCATCGCTGATCGAAGGTTGGTAATGAACTTCATTTCACATGATAGTTTTTTTATTAAATTTGTAATAGAAAGAGTTAACGTGAAATATTAATCAAACAAACTTTAGGGGAAAATGGATCATCAACCGTTGTAACTGAACAAGATAATGGCTCGATGGACAAAGTCACGCATACGTTGTTTAACAAGAAGGATATTACCGATAAAGTGGTGCTTGACGTTAGTAACGCAAAACATATACCTCCAACTCGGAATTCAATTTCTTCAATGCGTACAACCGGATCTGCCGTTAGAAAACGAAATCTTAAAGAAAAGGTTCTTTTGCCACTGGCTTATGCAATATTGGCATCCAGTTTGGCTACAATCACCACCCTGTTTGCAAAGGTAAATCGGTTTGTGTTTAAGTTTTTGTTAATGAAGCTCCCTTTTTTATTAACAAAAAAAAAAAATTTGTTTTTTTTTTTCTTAGTCCCTGGTTAATTTATTGACAATATCATTTGTACAAAAAGATAATCAATTTAAAGATTTATTATCATGGATGATACTCTTGATCACTGTTTCAACAGCGATTGGTCAAGTCTATTGGATAAATATGGGATTAAAAAAGTATGATGCATTATTGCAGGTACCAATATTTTATTGCAATTGGAGTTTATTTGATATTATAGGAGGGGGCATCTATTATGATGAATTTCATCATTTTACCGTAGATAAATATGTGGGATTTATTGTTGGAATATGCCTTATATTCTTTGGTGTATCATTATTAAGTAAGAGATTAGCTATGTTAACGAAAGAAGAAGAAAAGCTTAAAGAAAAGCAAAAGATATGGGAACAAGAGATGAAGAAGAAAAGGAAAGTTAAAAATGGTAATAATAGGAAAAATTTGGTATATGACGAGAAGAAAAAGGTGAAATCATAAATAAAAGAATGAAGGAAGGTAGATTGCTTTGTGTAAGCCAAGAACATTGTCAAGGAGGATTTAATTCTGTTAAATGTATATATAATGTTTGCTAAGCGTTAAGAATAGTTTTTTTCTTTAAATTCATAAAATTATTTCTCATCCTTAGCAAGACACCAAAAAAAAAAAAACAATTTATTTTTTTCCGTTTTTTAAAAAATATTAATAATAATAATGATAATAATGATAATAATGATAATAATAGATTATTATAGATGTTGTAATTTATTATAATTTGTATAAATATTACTTTATTTATATGCGGTTACAGATAAATAAATAAATTTAATAAAGAAAATAAAAATTACGAAATCAAATCAAATAAATAAATAAAGATTTGCAAATATTTTAAATATTTTTTCTTTTGTTTATTTCCTATGTTGAAAATTTTCACCAATAAAACATTAACTAAAAATTACCATCGATCAACGTAGGTATCTTCATCTATATTATAATCGTATAAAGGTCCGGATGAATTTATTTGTGAAGGTGGTGAACTAAGGCTTGAATTGTGTGAACGCTCAGGATACATTACATGTGGAGGAAAAGTATCAAGATTTGGATCGTATGAAGATCCAGAAGGCAGAGGTGGAGGTGGAAGTGGAAGTGGAAATGTATTAAAAGTTGGAGTACGATCAACTGAACTGTATGAAGTTCTTGGAGTTGGATTAAGGGGATATGGAGAATAATAAGGACTTGAACTGTTTGGTTTTTTCATTTTACTACTTGTACTTGTACGAACGGGAAATGGCTGAGATTGAGGACTTGAACTGTTGCTAAGCCTGCCGAAATTTATAGGGGGAGATCTTGACTCAAGAGCACCATCTCCTTCAGAGAACGTTATGTTAATAGCCGGAGGAGCATATTCTTTAACATCAGAATCATCTTCGTCAATATACGAAGAAGGCTTTTTAGACATCATAGGATGAATTATTGAATGATCTTCCTTTAAAGCTTCCCTTAAACGAGAGATATTATTCTCCTTTACAACTTGTGAGATCTTTTGTTGTTTTAATTCACGTTTATGATGTTGCCCTTCAAGAAGTTCATCAATCTTTTGATCAACTTTATGATAAAAATATTCTCTTAAATTTTCATTTATACGTAATTTCAAAAGCATATATAACATGAAAGCAACAGCCAAAAATGAGGCTCTCGTAAAAAAATTTAAAAATGTCATTGTCATTAATGCAATTGAAAGTCTTTCAGTTATATTATTACCAAATGACACATTTGAATTAGCTATGCTAAAAAGAGTGATCGCATTAACTATTTGACGAGGAGCTTCAAACAAGATGAGTCTTCTCCAACCTAAAAGAAATGTTCACATTAACGTTAAAAATACTCGGAACCACAAAAACGACCAAGAGTCACGTGACATTTACCTTTCAAAGCGGAGAATACAAAGAACGTGACGTCATCGACCAAAGCATTTTTCTTACTGATGTTACAAAAGAAACAATGATGAAGATAACTCTTTAAAGAATGATATCTAAAAGCGATAGGATTAGTAAAAGCGTAACCGATATCGTTTGAATCAATGATAGCTTTTGACTTTTTCCAATCCAAAGTCAATAATAAATGTGATGTAGCAAGGCATCCACCATAAATCAATTTTGATACATTCAAAGAAACTTTTGGTTGAGTTGAAGCAACCTTACTATCAAATATTAACAAGGTTGCTATCCATACATCTGCCACATGAATTACTATTATCCAAACTACCGTCACAAAAACGAAAACATTTTTTATTTTGGTCTTTAGATCATGCTGTTTGAAATCTTCTAAATATACATCATCAAATTTATGCTTTGGAACCACTTCTTCAATTTTGAAATTCGCCTTTGAACAGAACATGCCGATTCTAATTTTTAAGAGGGGGGAGGAAATAAAAAAGTTCGGTGTAATTCAGTCAAATCAGTAATATCATAAATATGAAATAATCAGCCTGCCTGTGATCCTTATTAATACATATTTCGTTAATGGACAAGTAATGGAAGACGTATGCAGGAGAGAGAGATATTTTTTTTTTAAAAAAAAAAAAAAAAAAAATTCAAACTCCTTTAAATATATCCCTTATTAAGAATAATCTTTACTCAAGTATGTAAGATCTTCCTTTCAAAATAAAGTCCAAATGAGATTTTAGTACATCTTGAATAAAATATATATATCTTGTATAATATAACAATTACACAACTATGAAAAATATTGTACCGTTTAATACTTTATTATTATAAAACTCTTTATCTTAATTAACTTTAATTTCCCAAAATGCGAAATTCGAAGATCCATTTCGTTTAAATGGACAAATTTGATGGACTTTTAGCATGACAACTTTGAAAATGAAAAGTCGATGTGCGGAATGTGCGTCTATGTTTTTTCGCACATGGTAAAAAATTTTTGTGACCAACCATTCATCTTTGCAAATCCTATGCGCACGTGCCATGTATAGTTGATTTTGACTTCACTTCATTTAATTGATTAAATTAGTAAAGTTTTAAAGAAAAAGTAATATTTGCTTTTTCATACTTTTGATAAGTTTGTCCACTAACTTTTCAAACATATATTAAAGAAAAATTTCATGATGCAAACAAAAGGAAAAAAAATAATGATGAATTTACAGAAAAAAAGCTTAAAGCTTGCTGCTACTTTTGATATGATCCGTAATGTGATTTTTTGCTGGCAACGCCCCAAAAGAAATTATTTAAAAAATTAAAGATTTTCGATGTTAAAAAAAAAAAATAAATTTGAAGAAACAAATATAACAAATAAATGTTGTAACAAGATTTGCGTGACAAAATGAAAAGAATAAAAAATCAAAAAAATTGGAATAATTTATTTTCCGGCCGCAAAGATATAAATATCTCAATTAATATTTTAATTTTTTTTTCTAATAAAATTAATCTTTTCTTTTCTTCGGTACATTGTATATTAATTTACCATGTTTTAAGACAAATCTAATTAAGCTATTTAAAAATTAACCAGTGATTACATAAAATAAATAGTATTAATATGCTGGCTAGATATTATTAAATTTGATAACCTTTTATCTATAGATACTAAAGATATAAAATTACCTACTGTTTAATGTATCTCATTATATTGAATTTAATGAACTATTTATATATAATTTAATAAACATTTTATTTTATCAATTTTATTAATTTTAATATATATAAATGTTAAAATGTTTCATTATTCATTATTTATATAAATATAAGATACAGCTCATTGGATTTGTTATAATATGATTTATTAAATATTACTTAATTCATATTTTTAGATTAATAATAATATTTTATGTATTTATATTAAATATATAATATTGTTATTATTCAATAAAACTATCATAACCAAACTAATATTTTTTTATTATTAATAGATATTAAGTTTATATTTAATCAGAATACATATGTTTACTAAAATTTAGACTGATACTTATATTATTAAATTTTGAATATGATAATGCAAATATAATATATAGATAGTTATTAATAAAATATTTTACTACAGTGAAGAACCTTTATCCCTTAAACTGTAGAGGTTCGCAGGCAAATTTGCCTGCTTATTTACTATAAATTCCCTTTTGATTTACTTTTATGAAAAATTAAAATTTTTAAAAAATTTTTTTTTTAAATTAATTTTATAAATATATATAATATTA